CTATTTCAACAATGATAATTTTTCCCAAACCAAACAAGGTATAGTTTTGTTGTGTACAAGTAACCAAACAAAAAGAATGGAAAAGATAAAAACAAACAGCATCTGTGGTGTTTACAGTTTTAAGTGATGATCCATGACACAATAACAACCACCTGTGCCTGTCAACTCAAGTTTCTGCTGGACTGTTTTTTCATTGGCACCAAATGTGTGAGTCACTGTCCCATATGTGTCAGTGGAGCAAACATGGAAGCTGGAGCCAGAAACTCAGTCATCTGTTCTGAGCAGTCAAGCTGTCATCTGTCTGGTTACCGACCAGGTGTCGAGATACCCAGACACAACGCGAGCGGCGATCCGGCCCATCAGGCGGGGCGTTGGTAAACAGTCTGCATACGCACAAGCTGGCCTGATCGCCGCCTCAGCCATTACTGCAAATAGCAGCAGCAGAAGAAGGAGCAGAGCACCATCTGCCCTGCACGTGGCGTGGATATAGAGAAAGGGAGGGAGAGGGGGAAGAGATAAAGGGATGAAACATGCTGCGTTGCTTTTGCTAGTGGGGGAAGAGCATAAGTGGGTCAGTGACTCAGTCGGTTGAATAAGTGACAATCCATGAAAAGCTAAGAATGAGGTGGCTTCGGTGAAGAGAGGTGTGACCTAGGAAGGTGAGGGGAAGGTGAAGGGAGAGCGTCACCAGGGCGCAGGATGCTAAAGATACTCTGCACATGTCCAGGCCGTCAGAGGAGCACGCTGATGCTGCAGAGCTGAGCTGACGTTCGGTGGGTGAAGCGTCCTGTGTCGCTCCAGGGCTATGCACGCACATCCTGCAGTTACACTCGCTGGAGTCGCTTTCTAAAGAGCTCGTGTAAAAACAGGGGAAGAGGATTAGTCTGTGTGTGTGCAAACATGAAAAAGTGAGCAAAGGAAGAGCGTATGCTTCCACGCATGAGCGTGTTGATGCACACTCCTGGTGTGTTTTTACGATTCCCTCTTTAATCGGACACAAACACACAAACACAAAGCTCAAATCCTCTAAGCCAGCGTCAACATACCACAAACAGCAGCACACCATTCACACAAACATGCAACTGGGCAGACATTTTAATCACTGCTGTTGCTCTTGCTTTTAAAGGATAAGTCTGGGTTACAAGCAGTGGGGTCTATTATTTTCATAGTTTTCATCAAGACACTGGTAAAAGAAAGGCTAGATAATAGAGATAAGGAAAGAGTGATACAATGTATGGTAACTTGTCTCATTCACGCTGTATCTCCAGAAGTATTACCCTGTGGTTGTATGCCTCTGGTAACAAATGCAGTTTCAGAGCCTCCATGTGTTCCTGACATATTGACACTTCGACCTTTGACCACTGAAATCAGAATCGATTCACGTTTGAGTCCAAGTGACGACTAGTAAAGATTTGTGGAAATTTCCCCAAAGGAAATATTCTACAGGCTTCTACAGTTTTGTGGGGTCACCATGACCTTTGACCTTCGACGGCCAAAATCGAATCAGTACAGAACTGAAGGAGCAACAAAGGCAAGTCCAGTTACTTACATACATTTGTACGACTTCTGAAGATACCATGACCTGGATGACTTCACAGTCACATGTTTAGGAGGCCACATTTTTATCTTTGTTAGGCCACAGCAACCCTGACCACCCATATCTAAATCAGCTAAAGTCTAAAGGAAAGTTTCTGCCAGATGTAATGAAATTCTCTATGGGTGTTCTTGATATATTCACAACAACCTGAGCTCATCGTGACCTTGTTCTTTGACCCCCAACAAATAATCACTTCATCTTTTAGTCCGACTTAACGTTTGTACTGAAGACATTTCTCATGGCGTTCCTGAGATGTTGCATTCGCAAAGCAAACATGTTTTATAGGGTCACAGCAACCTTGAACTTTGACCTTTGTCCACCAACATCTACCCAATTCATCCCTGAGTTTATTTGAAGGTTTGTGCAGAATTTGAAGATGTTTCCCTGAAGCTTTCTTGGGATATTGTGTTCACAAGATTGACATGGACGGACATACCAACAACCTGTAAACATAAAGCGTCCAATCACTGGGTGTCGCCAGCATGAAGACATATTAAAACTATTTAATAATCCAAATATATTTAAGATATCCATCACCCACTTTCATTTGTGTATCTTGTCTACTTCTGCTGTTGTCACAGACCACCGCCTTTCAGGGGTGTCTATAAAGAAGGTTCCCTATAGAGGTTGGTGTGTGAACCAAGTCGTTTCGAAGACCCCCCTCCTCAGACAACCCACAATTCATCAGATGGAGTGATGCTTGTAATTTTGAGGCTTCAGCAGCAGCTGCCACGTGGAGTCTCCTGGTAACAGAAACTCCAAACCAAATGTCCAACAGGAGGCCTAAAGAGGAGACACTTCACATCCACCAGGGATGGACTCCAGAATTTATCAGCTGCACCACAGTGTGTTGAACAAGATAGGTCTGCAGAAATCACACGTGTTTCCTTTGTATAAATACCAAGATTAATCATATAGATTACATAGAGTTAGAGAGATTTACTCATTTTGGGCATGTAATTTTCAAGCAGGGGCCTGGGAAAAAGACTTGATTTACAGGGGTTGAGAAGGTAACCCAATGTTGTTTGAAATATTAACCGTGGCAACGTACTTGTAAAGATGTATGTCACAGGGCTGCCCCAAGAACAACTTGTGCTTCCTAATGCAAAGGGCGACCTTTTCAGGTTTGTGCATGTCAGAAGTTAGGGACACCAAGATTTTGTATGAAAATGTTTTTGAAGGGACGGCTAACAAGCAGCAGTTACCTTTACAATGGCTCTTTTCTATTTCTAAGTCATGTCAGTGTATTAGTGAGCCAGTGTGCACAACAGCAGGACCCTGACACCGAAGCAGCAGAATGGAATTCAGCCAACAGTCCCAGAGTTAAACCACATTTAGGTTCAGTTTTTAATTTGGATCTGCACCAGTCAGCCACTCCAAATAAATCGGATTTGTTTCCATTCATTATTTCTTAAAATGTAAAAACTGCCCTCGGAATGTTAATTTAATGGACTCTATCTAGGGCAACCAACAAACCAACAATTGGAACGAGGTAGAAAGCAGAAGCTAGCTGCTCATGCTAACTGTGACACCATAATGTTATATTTGGTTATTTCTATTACTGGTAATACTAATGAGCACGATGAATCAAATGTTTGCAAAAACAACAGTAACATGGCTTCATTATGATGCATTCAATTATTGTTATTATTTATTTATTTAATTTTATGATTGCTACAATAATAAGTAGTATTATTATTATCATTACAACTGTGAGAGAAAAGTCATTTGTTTCAAATTGCTAATCATATACTAAGGCTAGCCTGACCTCTGCTGGACAAACTTGATTACTGCCAGTACTGCGAAAGTGAACTTTACTTCACAAATATTACAATCACTAGTTGCCAGTTTTTGCTGCTCATAAACATATCACTAACCCACACATGCGTGTACACACACACACACACACACACACACACACACACACACACACGTATACGTTTGTACTTGTACTTTATATTGGATTATTTGTATGTAAAAAGTATAAAGTGTGTAAGTGCTTGGACCTCACACAATAAGCACATGCACATTTAAATGATTAAATGTATACAATTATACTCATTCACTATCTGGTTATGTACCTGCCTCCATTTAATTTAAGGACCCAGTGTTGTAGTTGTTGGCACATACATGATAACGAGTTATTATAAGACCAGAACCTGTCCTGTCTTATAGACCGTCCATGAAGTGTTTGTATATACATTATTAATGCTGAATGTTGTGTTTTGTCACATGCTTTACACCCGCTGACATGGATTCATCTTTAATAGCATGGTTGAAATGACTGATCTAACTGACTATGTTTTTTTCTTTTTCATTAATTCCTATAATTTAAAAATAGACTGCAGGTTTCAAATAACATTAAAGCTCAACCTATCGGTTTGAGCTAGGGAACAGTTTTATTTGTTAAGTTCTGATGTATGAACTGATGTATAAAAATGCAGATGAGAAAAATGACTGCAGTTTCAGATGTTACCCACTAGGTGGCTCTGCACTACACAAGTTGTATTGAGCAACAGGTTGTGGGTTTTCAGTGACTGAGCCTTTATCATACAGCTGATGATGCAACTGATCAATGAGGAACGTCCAGTCAGAAAGTTTCTGATGCAACATACATGCATGAGACTATACATCAGTTTTGTTTCCAGTGACTGACAATCGCATGTTTGTCTGTGAAAAGGTGTCTGACACTGAGCAGCTTTGTTGTAGAGACACAGACAGGAAACAACTCAGTATCTGGATCCAAATATAAAGAAAATAAACACTTCTGGAAGAACTGAAGAAGCTTAATACAAAATCAGTAATTATCAATGGATTGTTTGCATTAATATCTCTTTATATATGCTGAGCAATGTGCAGTCAATTATTGAATTGGAGATGTATAATTTGCAGACCGCACACTACTTACACACATGTTTTTGGGAAACCTATTAGAAAAAAACAAAA